ACTAGCAGATGCGCGCACACACACACACACACACAGAAGCTTGCTCGCTCACTCACTAGCAGATGCACACACACACAAAGACACACAGAGGCAGACAGTCACTGACACCGAGGTAAACATCCACACATACAGAGACAGGCAGACAGCCACACACATACACAGGCAGACAGTCACACACACACAGTTACACACAGGCAGACAGTCACACACACAGGCAGTCACACACACACACACAGTTACACACAGGCAGACAGTCACACACACAGGCAGTCAAACACACACAGTTACACCGACAGTCACACACACACACACAGACAGTCACACACAGGCAGTCACACACACAGGCAGACAGACACACACTCACAGGCAGTCACACACAGACACACTGACCTCCTTCTTACCTCCTGCTTGGAGCTACTGGAGGCTGGTTGTTGGGAAAGCAGGGACTCCTTCCTGCTTCCCATGCTGCATTAGCCAGGGCCCCCGCCGCTCGCTAAGCCCCGCCCCCGCCGCACGCTAAGCTCCGCCCCCGACTCAATATTATTTTTTAAAAATATATATTTTTTTTAATGATCCTGGCCGGCCATGTGTGAGCTGTGCCGGCCGGCTCCCCCTGCTCCCATGGGGTCCTGTGCGGCCGCACACCTTGCACATGGCCGGCCGGGATCACAGGAGCCTGATCAGTATTGAATGGGGCTGTCAGCCCAGCCCCAGGTGCCGCGGCCCACTGGGAAATTTCCCGGTATCCCGGTGGGCCAGTCCGGCCCTGGTCTGAAGTGCTCCAGTCACCTGGCAGTAGCGAGAAAGTTGACCTGGCAGAGGTACTCAGTCAGAGTACAGGAGCTCCATCACAAATATTAGCAAGTTCACAGAAAGAGAAAGGTTTAACAGTTCGCTGACCTGATTTGGTCTTAAGTGATTGGTTGCTCCAAGTTAACGGTATAGTCGAAGTACCAAAATCACTTGATCTTGGGGGGCAGGGCTTGACTGACATAGTGTTCAGAGAGCTCCTAATACATTGCTGAATAAACTTATTAGACCTGCTATTTCATTTCTCTATCTGGGGCTGGCAGTATAATTCTTGAACCCTGCATAGATAGAGCAGTCTAGGAGTGTTCCACAGTCATTAAAAGCTGCTCAGATGAAGTTTCCTTCTGCTGCTTGAGGGGCCTGATAGAAGCTGTAAACGGCAGAGGTGGCCAAACTCCCTGCCCGGTAGGATATTGCATGAATGGAGCTTGCGCCCTGCAACCATCCCCTCTGGACCGGTGGGGGTGATCCCGGTCCAAACCCCATATCTGTCAGAGTTTGGTGGCAGTGCAACAGACATCAGTACCTCCAACAGTGTTATACACGAAATAGCAGATACCACTTGTACACCCGCAACATAGTAAATTCCTGTTAGCCAGGAAGTTTGCATGTCTCCCATAAGGTATATTTATTTTTTTGGATCTCCTATTTCTTGCTGTGAATGAAGTCATATATGTCTTTACATATACTAGCTGTCCTCATATCTTGGGTGCCACCTGGGGTTGTATAAACTGTTTCCTATTATTATTATTTAACCCTAGCACTGTATTTTCTTTCTTGTTATCCTTGAATTGAAAATGAGGCCTCCAAATTCCATGTGGGTCATGCTATGCTGTTTATCCTAACTTCAAAACGCTGAATGCTATTACACAATCACTTTGTCTATGCATGTCACCACTGTTTAACTATGTTATTTACTTAGTGTCTCAATAAAAAAAACTTTAAAAGTGATTGAAAAAATAAAATACAATATTAAGGTATAAAAATAAATAATCACTCCATCTTAATAAAGTAACATTGTTACACAGATCCTACACATGCAGTATTGCAAAATAAAGTGCCATTTCAGAGAAAAGGCAAAGTTTAAACTTTCTGCCTTCTAGTGGCTTTCATTCAGAGAGCCACTAGGGGCTCCCGAAAAAAAAACAAAAAACTGATTCAACACTGTGATAATCTGACATCTAATGTTCCATGCACAGTATGATTACGAACACTGTGTGAGCAAGAATTGGATTAGCAGATCACGGAGATTGCTGCACGTGCTGTATGGCTGCAAGGCTTCCTATGGGAAGCTTCTGATTGGACTTTAGAGCAGCGAGTATCAGGCAGTATTGAGGAGTCTGTCTTGCAGCTATGTTTATTGACAATTTGAAACAATTTTTAAGATGAAAGTGAAAGGAAACAAAAAAAATATTATTTTAAATGAAGACAGAATGAGAATAGGTTTTTTTCTACATATGTTCTTTTGGGTGTGACTTTTCTGTATTCAGAAAAAATATCTGACATTTACATGATGAAGAGACAATTTCTGTATCTTCTGACTTTGATCAGCTCACTTTTTCTCAGATCGTTGTCACTGATTTGTTTCACTCCCAGAGGATGCACCTATTGAGGAACTGACCGTGATTTATTTTGGCTAACTTGCCACATTCACATATCAAGACACAACTTTATATACTTTTATTTCTGTTTATAAAAAGTGTTATGCTCCTTTAACCCATTAGGTGCAGCGTCACTATGGAGGGTAGTTGAAGTGGTTCTGTGTTTGCTCCAAGGTGCTGGGAAGGTGTGGACGGATATCCTAGTGCACACGTGGCAATTTGATTTCAAACAGGGTTTGCCTTCCAGTCAGTCTGCATGTATGGATCTGGTGCATGTGTCATTCAAATGGATGCAAGTCATAGGAAAAAAAACAAATATGTGAAACATAGCAAGAGGGATCTTGCTATACCAGGCAGGCTGTAGATGTGTAGGTGCGAATTTAAAGTTCACTTTGAAATCCAGATAATTCACATTTGGGAATAACTATGTGTGTGTGTATATGTTCATGGCAGTCAGGGTGTACTTGGCATGTCCCCGTTTGTGCCATCTGCGTGAGTGCCCAGTTCTGTAGGTCGGCTCCATTTTCCTATAGATGCCTTTAATGTCCACATCGTATGTGTAGGCCTGCAGCCTAGGTGCAAATGAAAACCAAATTGGCACGCGTGTGAAGACAGAGTATTCACACAATGAGGAATATGCCTTTCTTATCCATGTGAGGAGAGCAGAGGTCGGCTAATGTTACTGTTTGTTGTCATTGCAGAGAGCTCCCACCTGCAAGATTAAAAAAAAAAAAAAAAATGAGCAGAGGGTTCATAAAGTGTGACAGAAAAACAGCAGACCCTATCTGAAAAGCACTTACCGAATATCATGGGGCAAACAGGACTGGTCCAGATTATAATGTAACACAGCCAGTTTACACAAAGTCTTCAAACTGGGACCTGAATTACAATGAGACAGTTAATGGGAATCCTGCTTGCATGTCATAATTACCCAGTGCCACTAATACTAAAACCACGTTTCTTCCACGAGTGATTGCCCACTCACCTCCAGGCAGCGATTTTGTTTGAGTCAAGATGATCAAACTGATGTTATAGCATTACTAATGTATATTATAATTTAATTGAGATAGGCAAAACATTACAATATATTGATCTATAGAACCCATTCTAGATGCATCATGTAATACAGCACAAATACAACATACACTGGCTTATTCTCTAAAGTGAGAATTCAGAGTGAATTTCAACTTTAAGACCGAAACACCAGAATCGGAAACATTCTCAAAGTCAGCTATGCTTCCAGTTTGGCTATTTTAGCCCAAATAGTAACAAATATACGTATGGATAAAAGCTGAGGTTAGCAGTGCATAGACCTATGTCATAAAAGACATGATGAATAATATAACAAATGAACCACTGTAATGATGGGTCATTCCAGACACAAGTTCAGTTACAAAATAAATAGAGGGAGTCATTAAATGCAAAGACAGAGCTTTAATATTGTGGTAAAAAGATAACATATAAAAAATGGAACAGAAGAACAAGTAAAAAAAGTGACGATAGAAAAAGGAGGAGGAGGAGGAGGAAAATTCACAAAGTACGTCTTACAGGAAGAAAAGTCTACGGTCACAACATCACTTTTCTCTTGGGGAGGCAACACATTTCCGTTCTTTGTTGATACATAGTCTGTCCAGTGAAAGCAGCTGGAGACAAATTTTTGTTAATCTTACTTTGCCATGTGAATCCACTTTAATTGCAGATCCATTACACTATTCAAGCTGTACAGAGCACTGTGGTCCCAAATTCACAAACATAAAGGAAAATGTTTCTGCAAGTTCTTTGGAAAAGAGCAGTGAAGGCTGGGCCTCAGGACCGGGACTATAAAACCAACCATGTCAAGATTTGGGGGGGATTTTTTTTTAAACACATCTCCACTATCACTATCCACTCCAAAGTCTGGTTATAAAACTTTAGAAAGGCTTAGTCTGCTCTAACAAAATCTTTTAAATCAACCATTGGCTTTGTATTGGGCTGTCAGATCAATAGTAAAGATAGGCATGTGTTGCAGTAACCCTGAGAAAAGAGGGGTATCCACCACCAGAGATGTTCTTTTCCCCTAGTGTGGGTAGCGCTGCAGTATTCTCAAGTCTATCTCTAAGCAGGCAATATAGCCAGTATAGCTGTATAGCTCTTATAAGAGCCAGTGGTTATAGCAAGTATAGCTGTTCCCTACAATCATGAGACGAGGCTGAGTGTTGACAGTGAAGTGAACTGATTTTAAAGGGACCACACTTGGCCTTTTATGACAATCCCCATGCAAGGGGTACTCCCACCTGGACCTGATGGAAGACTGAATTACACAGTCACAGACCAATGACAACAGTGTTACAATGCATTCCACGCCCATACATATCATACAATCCCTCCCTTCTGCCTGGGAGATAATTGAGTCAAGTACTGTATTAACTCAATTATCGCCAGGCGAAAAAGAACACAATTTACAGGCAACCCGAAGGTACCCCAAAAACTCACATAAACCCCACAAAAAGTACATCCCCTGATAGCCCCGATCTGGGTGAGCAAAATATCCAGGAATCACCCAGATCAGGATTTTCATGGAAGTCTTCTTTTTTTTTTTAGATCAATTTGTGTTTATTAGAATATTTTTCGAAACGATAAGCAATACAGTAAAAAACAGAGAAAATAGGAAGCAAGAAGGATGCACTCTTGTAGGGGGTTAACCCTTTGTGGACTACAGCAGTAGTAAAAGCAAGAAGAGAGAAAAAGTGAGTGCCCTCGAGTTAAAATATAACTTTTAATACTAAATAAAGTTAAAACCAAATTAATGCGATGTATCCAAAATACAATGTTATCAAAAAAATGCTTAAACTAATAATAAATAGATCATAAAGATGAAATACTAAAGGAACAATTAATTTCCTATAAATAAATAACGATAAATTGATAAAGGAGGTCCTGTTCAAAAGTTTTCAGGACAATCTCCAAATGATATGCAAAAAACCAAATAGGTTTTCTTGTGCATACAAGTGTGTACGTCAATTAAGTTAAAATAAAGGGAAAGAAACTGTCCATAAAGTAGAAGTTGCTACATAAAGTAGTGTAACGAAATAAGGTTCTAAAGGTCTTAAATAATGAATAGACCTAGATACATTAGTAACTTTATACGGAAATCATGATGTCAGCATAATGACTTAACCACATAGAACCCCATTTATAGTGCTTATTAGATCCAGAAAACGCACTAGAAAAAATATAGTGATATGAGAGAAATTGTTCTACACTATATGAATAAATAAATAACTCCTGCTGTGGGAATAGGGATCACTGCCAGAATAGATCAAGGACATGTACTCAGTGAACCCCCCACTATATAGCTGGAGTAGGGCTAAATATCGAAGTGTAAGATATAGAGTCTAATAGTCATCTAAACAGACGCCAATACTATAGAAAATAAAGATGTATCGATAGAGCCCTTTCCCCTGACGCACGCGTTTCACCCACAGCTCATCAGAAGGGATAAGCAATACAGAGAGTAAACAGATAGTAGTACTTTTAGGTGTCTAGATGTTGTGCGGAGCATATGAGTAGTTCGCCCTCTTCTGTTGCATCTCGTCTGCTCTCCCCGCCGTCGCCCCCCCCTCCCCCTCCATATTTTCCACTGGGCACTGAGAGTAAGATAGTGATAGCACGTCCTTTGTCTCCCCGTGTGTCTGAGAGTCAAAACCATATGCTTGACATTGTTACCGTCCTTCTCTTGTCATGCTTCACCGCCAGTTTTTCCCTGTTATCGGGGATATGCCCTAGGGTGTGTAGTTTAACACTGGTATACAAGGTGCATGGTTCCTCTTTCCCACAGTGTGGACTTGGAAACACTTATGGCGTACGGTCTAGAGTTCTGGTGTGATCCAGTGTCTGGTCTATGAGCTCTAGAGGGCAGAGCTCCTGCGTCCGGTTGGCCTCAGTGAGTCTGGTTCCCTTAATGGTCATCTCCTCGTTAGCATCTGGGCTCCA